TTAGATCAATGCTTTAAATGGGCGAGACCCCACTGGGGTGACTGACGCAGAATCCAGGGAATGAGCTGCAGATTCGTGGTGGAACAGCCCGCTCGGAGAACTCAGCTGTGGCTGAGCTCGCTCCGAGATCACTGTACCCGGGCAAGTGTGAGAAACAGCCCGCTCCGAGATCACTGTACCCGGGCAAGTGTGAGAAACAGCCCGCTCCGAGATCACTGTAACCAGTCAAGTGTGAGAAACAGCCCACTCTGAGATCACTGTACCCGGGCAAGTGTGAGAAACAGCCGGCTCGGAGATCACTGTACCCGGGCAAGTGTGAGAAACAGCCCGCTCCGAGATCACTGTACCCGGGCAAGTGTGAGAAACAGCCCGCTCCGAGATCACTGTACCCGGGCAAGTGTGAGAAACAGCCTGCTCGGAGATCACTATAACCAGTCAAGTGTGAGAAACAGCCAGCTTGGAGATCACTGTACCCGGGCAAGTGTGAGAAACAGCCCGCTCCGAGATCACTGTATCCGGGCAAGTGTGAGAAACAGGGTTAGAGGTGAAAGAGCTCACCTCCTGCAGCTACCACAGCCGACTGCACTGGTGGTCGGGGCACCTGCATCAGGAGGGGGCTCAGACGGAGTGATCTCATCAGGAAAGGGTGCTGTGATCTATTGCTCATGTCTGTCACAGCAGCAGAAAGTGGTGGCCTGTGTGTCACAAGGGGGGCCCTCAGGCATCAATCAATGGTGCCCGCTGTCCTAGTTCTGCTTTCCTGCTGTGTCTAAGATTTCAGCTCCAATATGCTAGGCTTTACCCACCGTTTGCCACTTAGAAACACTTTATGTGCCTTTTAAACGCTTCTCTTAGTCCTTCCTAAAATGTTAAGAACAGATCTTAGCTGGGACACTTCTTAACCACGATGTGCCATCATGTCATGGCACACGGATATGACAAAGAAGTTGGTATGCCACCATGGGACTAATGGACACATCGGGTTCCCAAGGAAACATTGTCTGGGAGCCGCTAACACACACCCCAGACAGTGGTGGATGGGCGTGAGGGCTGAGAGAACTAACGTCTCAGCTCACCTGAACCTCAAAGCCAATGCAGGGACCTCTGTCCAGTGGGCCATCATGGCCACATGAAACCCAGCCCCAGGGACCTCTGTCCAGTGGGCCGTCATGGCCACGTGGAACCCAGCCCCAGGACCTCTGTCCAGTGGGCCGTCATGGCCACGTGGAACCCAGCCCCAGGGAAGCATTTCGTGTTTCCTGTGCTTCTCAAACACCTTCTAGTTTAAGGTTGGCATATACTGCTAATGACCACCGCTAATGACCCATAGAACGGTGCTCAGCCATTCTCCCTGGTGCTGTCCCCCAGCCCCTGGGCACTCCAGCCCCGTGGTCTGTTAGAGCCACTTCCCCAGTGTGGCTTCAGGTTCACAGGCATGGTTTTGCTCATTGTCTATGATGAGTTGAATTCTGCTTTTCTGACCTGACCAAAGGAGTCTTCTGTAGCCCACATGCTGGTTTTGCCTAGCAAAAGAGGTGCATGTTTGCAAGCTCGGGGGAAAAATGGGTGAGTATGAAAATAAGATTCATTATAGAAAGAACTGAGCAGCTAGACTTTATTAAAATTAAAATCTCTGCTCTGCAAGACCTTGTCACAAGAACGAGAAGGCAAGCCACAGATTGGGGGAGGGGGGTGAATTTGCAAAGCACATATCCGATAAACGGCTGCTGTTGGTAACACCGAACTCTCGAAGCTCAACCATAAGCAAATGAACAATCCATTTAAAAAGCAGGGAGAAGGTCTGAACAGACCACCTCACCAAACAAGATTTACACAGGGGAAAAAAGTGAATGAAAAAATGCCTAATTAGGCCAGCGCCGCGGCTCACTAGGCTAATCCTCCGCCTAGCGGCGCCGGCACACCGGGTTCTAGTCCCGGTCAGGGCGCCGGATTCTGTCCCGGTTGCCCTCTTCCAGGCCAGCTCTCTGCTGTGGCCAGGGAGTGCAGTGGAGGATGGCCCAGGTGCTTGGGCCCTGCACCCCATGGGAGACCAGGAAAAGCACCTGGCTCCTGTCTCCTGCCATCGGATCAGCGCGGTGTGCCGGCCGCAGCGCGCCGGCCGCGGCGGCCATTGGAGGGTGAACCAGCAGCAAAGGAAGACCTTTCTCTCTGTCTCTCTCTCTCACTGTCCACTCTGCCTGTCAAAAAAAAAAAATGCCTAATTATATCTGCAAGTAGGAAGCTGGAAATGAAAACCCAAGGAGATGCCCCTACACACATATCAGATGGCTAAAATCTCAACCACGGACAGCACGAGAAGTTGACAAGGACATGGAGCAATAGGACCTCTCATTCTCACTGATGAGAATGCAGAATGGGACAACCACTTGGAAGACAGCTTGGCAACCTGTTACAAAACATACTTGCAGCATACATTCCAGCAGTAATGATCCTTGGTGCTTCTTCGAATGAAGTGAAAACCTAGCTCTATGTAAAAATCTACACACCAAGGTTTCTTGCAGCTTTATCCATAAATGAAAAAACTAGAAAGCAACAAGATGTCATTCAGCAGGTGAATGGATAAACAAACAGTGCTGTATCCACACAATGAGACATTAGTCAGTGGTAAGAATAAATGAGATAGGCCGGCGCCGCGGCTCACTAGGCTAATCCTCCACCTTGCAGCGCCGGCACACTGGATTCTGTCCCAGTTGCCCCTCTTCCAGGCCAGCTCTCTGCTGTGGCCCAGGAGGGCAGTGGAAGATGGCCCAAGTGCTTGGGCCCTGCACCCCATGGGAGACCAGGAGAAGCACCTGGCTCCTGCCATCGGATCAGCGCAGTGTGCTGGCCGCAGTGTGCCAGCTGCGGCGGCCATTGGAGGGTAAACCAGCGGCAAAGGAAGACCTTTCTCTCTGTATCTCTCTCTCACTGTCCACTCTGCCTGTCAAAAAAAAAAAAAAAAAAAAGACATGAGAAATCCCAGACGGATATCGCTAAGTGAAAGAAGCCAGTTTGAAAATGTTATATGCTGTACAATTCCAAATAGAAGATATTCCAGAAAAGGTAAAACTGTGGAGACAGTGAAGAGAGCGATGAGATTCAGTGTTGGGATGGGAGAAGGGTGAGCACGGAGGACGTGGGGCAGTGCCACTACTCTGGATGGCGCTGTGATGGTGGACACGAGATGTTATAGATTTATCAATGACCACAGAACACACAGCACAAAAATAATACAATAATATTACATAAACTGTGGACTTTAGCTAATATTAAGAGCAACCTGTCATTTGTAACAAATGCACATCAATGCAAGATGCCAACAATAGGGGAGACTGGGGCCGGCGCCACGGCTCACTAGGCTAATCCTCCGCCTTGCGGTGCCGGCACACCGGGTTCTAGTCCCGGTCGGGGCACCGGATTCTGTCCCGGTTGCCCCTCTTCCAGGACAGCTCTCTGCTGTGGCCCGGGAGTGCAGTGGAGGATGGCCCAAGTGCTTGGGCCCTGCACCCCATGGGAGACCAGGGTAAGTATCTGGCTCCTGCCATTGGATCAGTACAGTGCGCCAGCCGCAGAGCTCCGGCCGTGGCGGCCATTGGAGGGTGAACCAATGGCAAAAGGAAGACCTTTCTCTCTGTCTCTCTCTCTCTCACTGTCCACTCTGCCTGTCAATAAATAAATAAATAAATAAATAAAATTAAAAAAACACAATAGGGGAGACTGGGAAAGGGAGGATTTGAGGGAATGTGTGACTTCTCTGTACTTTCTGCGTAAGTTTTCTGTAAACCCACAACTACTCATAAAAATAAACTCTACTAATGAAAAAAATGTAGGCATGAGAACAAGCATGGAGTTCGAAGTATGGAAATGTAATATTGAATTTAACAACAACCAAGATATGGGATGTGATGGCACCAACACGGAATCCAACAGCGATTACCTCTGGGGAAGGGGTAACGGCAGGAAGCATGGACTGGGTGCTCCGAGTTGTGTGCGCGTGCGTGTGTGTAACAAACCTTTAAACTCTGTTTTTTTAAACCGAGAGTATGCTAAGCTTTGATTTTAAAAAATATGGTGAAATTGTTCCTCCATCAACTTAGCTGGGCACGAGCTTCTAAGAAAAGTCCAGAGTTTTTGAGGGGAAATGAGGTAGTCCCTGGAGTTTAGCAGACACATGATGTAGTTTGCACTCAAAGAACACCCGTCTTATTTTTTTTTTAGGGGGGTGGTATACTGTCCAAGTACGGCCAGGGCTGGGAGGTCTCTGCTCAGGTGAACTCCAGGGGGCAGTGCGAGGATGGTTGGGGGAAGGGCACAGGAGCCTCATGCAAGCCCCTCCCCAGCTTACCTCTAGACGAGACCACCACCAAGAAGTTCCTCAAGGTCTTACCCCAAAAGACCAGGGGCTTCTCCCTGCACGTGCACAGCCCCGGGAAGACGTGTGCTCCCAGGAGTACCGGCTGCCTCTGAGAGAGAATGCTCTGCTGAGCAGGTCTCCACAGGGGCAGGAAGTCTGGACAGGTCAGAATTGGGGTACAGCAGGTAAGCCGCTGCTTGCAACACCAGCACCCCACATTGCAGTACTGGTTCAAGCCCCAGCCACTCCTGCTAATGCTTCTGAGAATGGAATGGAAGATGGCCCAAGTGCTAGGGCCCCTGCCACCCCTGTGGGAGACCCGGATGGAGTTCCCGGCTCTTGGCTTCGGCCTGATCCACAGCTTGCTATTGCAGCCATTTGTAAGGTGGATCTCTCCCTCTCCCTCCTTCACTCTCTCTCTCTCTCTCTCTCTCTCTCTCTTTCTCTCTCTCTCTCGGACTCATTTTGTCTCTGTCACTCTTTCAAATAAATAAACCTTTAAAAAAGAAAAGAAAGAGAAAACGCGGTTAGGGCTTCCCAATTCTCTCCACACTTCTACTCACACTCCAGGCCTCAGCTAGCCACTGTCTTGGGGTGAGGCAGCCATGAAACTCCAGGCCGCGTGGCTTACTCACGAGACACGTACTTCCTGCAGTTTTGGAGCCTGGACATTGCAGCGCAGGTGTAGCCCCGCCTCCCTGGCTCGCAGATGGCGTCTTCTCCCTGTGTCTAATGGCCTTTCCTCTCTGTCCGTCAGGGCTCCAGCCTTTTCCTCCGAGGACCCAGTGATGCCCTGTTAGGGCCCCCATGGTGACCTCATTTTTCCTGAATTATCTCTTCAAAGGCCCTCCCGGCAAAGCACAGCCACATTGTGGGTACTGGGTGGCGCAAAGCCAACGGACGAATTCCAGGGTGCTCGGTTCATTTGGTCTCATGTAAGACTCAGAAGAATCCCAAGTCAGTGTTCCAGCACCCTCTTGGACACCCAAATCCTCGGACGCTCGAGTCCCTTACATAAATGATGTAGTGCTAGCGAACAGCCCAGGCACCTCCTCCTGCGTACCTCCTATCATCCCTAGACTGCTTACGAGGCCTAATACGATGTAAGTCGTTGTCATATTGAATTGTCATATTGAATTGTGGTTGCTCAGCACAGATGCAGCTGTTTCCCAATTATCTCTGACCCACGCTTGGTTGAGTCTGTGGCTGTAGAATCAACAGATAGGAAGGGACAACTGTGTTGTTATTGTTCTTCTTAGCGCAAAGCACCTCAAACAGGTGACCCTGACTTCCCTCCACTGCTTTGTAATGAAATAATCTGCCAAGAATGGAGACACTGCATACACACACACACACACACACACACGCACACAGGCTAGCCATAAAACAAAAGTCAGCACCTGGGCCAGGGACTCCTAGAGACAGGACAGACCACAAAATGCATCAGGAGTGAGACTCCAGTGTCAGACAAGACTGTGGGGTCCACACCTCAGGTCCGAAACATCCCAGCCGTGTGCTTGTGGAGGCATCTCCTAACCTCACTGCATCCACCACTTTGTGAAATGGGGACCAGGGCTGGGTGAGGCAGCCATCCACTGCAGGGCTGTTCAAGTGCAGAGCCAGCCCCTGAGAGGGGCACTGCCCGGGTTACACACACCAGGTGCCTTGCCGGCTCACCTCGGCCCTGGCCAGCATGGGGGTCACTGCATGCCCCGGCTGCAAGGTGATCGGCTAGACTGAGAGAGACCCGCAGTGCCTCGTGCCAAACACAGACCAGGCACTCAGAGCAAGCGTGCAAACAGCCAGCCTCGCGCTGTGCATCCTTCTCCCGGTGTGATCTTTACTCAGCGTTAACCTAAAGAACATCTCCACCAGCATCCAGCTAGAACTTGGCCAAAATGGGGTTCATTCCTTTCCATATCCCATCCTCACATGGTCACTGGGAACTGTGGTTGCTACAATGGTGATTTTGATGGTGGAGTATTCTATTACTCTAAATAGCCGGGGGAAACCTACTGGAGTACTAAGCCGCCTCCTGGAATTCTCTCCCCTGCAGGCTGTGTGCCTGTGGACCACACAAACCCTCTTATTTATCTTTTTAACACAATGCCTGACATGTAATACACAAGATGCCTAAAACATAGAATTGCTAATTGGACACCTTTGCCCCAAGTTTCCAAATCAGTAAGTTTGTAGTTACAGGCTGGAGTTTCCAAAGAATAATAGTAGTAACAGCAGTAGCGTCATCTAAATAGCAGCATTGTAATGACCTGGTGTTTCACGAGACAAGTGAGAGACATCCGCCCATGATACTTGGAACAGAATCGCTCTTCTGTTCTTTCAGCGCCTTCATGTGATGGTGTTTGAGGAAGACTCGGCTCCAGGAATCCGAGCAGAGTCCCCGGTGCCCTCTCTGTACCCTGTGCAGGCTGCCAGCAAGGGCACAGGTTGCCCGGGTCTGCACATCCCGGGGAAGTGCGCAGCTTGGGGCGTAACCGCCAGGTGGAAAGAGGGACCGGTCTTCCGCGTGAGGCTGCACGAGCGCGGCCCTGCTAGAACGGAGGTCGACGCCAGCTCCGCTCCGACGCCTGCAGCACGACGCTCGGGCTGCGCACCCACCGCGCGCGGGCCGCACCACGGCGCCGGCGTTTCCACCCGAACGCGAGGTGGCCTTGCCCCAGTCGGTCGCCAGATGGCGCCGCGGCCCCAGCCATCGCGCTCCGGGGCCCGCGTGGGCTCCAGTTTGCCCTGCGCGCTCGGCGCTGGCGGCGGACCCGGCCCGCGGCGCAGGGGAGGGGTCGCTGCGGGAGCTCGGGCCGGGTGGGCGCTGGGGACGCCGGCGCCTCGGCCTCTGCTGAGGGCCCCTCGGCTCAGCAGGTGGCCTTGTTGCGCTTTTAAAAGAAGCCGGTAGCTGGGCAACTGCTTGGAGTGTCAGCAGCTCCCGTGCCTAACCGTCGATGGAGACTCCCTTTCCAGGGGCGGCGCCGGGTCCGCCTGGCTGTGAGGGGGCAGGCTGGGGGCGCGGCCGTGCCCCTGCGCACGGCCTGGAGTTAGGCCGGGCGGGCTTCCAGCCTCAGCCTCGGGGGCCACGTGGCGAGGCAGGAGGCGGGCTCCACTTGCGCCTGCAGACCGAAGGCACCCTTACCTGCCTACTGCACCCCGCGCCGGAGAGCCCCGCTCCTGCTGCGCGTACCTCGAGTTCTTACTGTTTGCGACACGTGACTTACAACCCGGTTCGTGGAAAAGCTTAAGCCCCGCGTACCTGAGCCGTATTACCAACCGACATTCGCGGCTGCGGGGCGTCCTCCGCACCCCCGGGACACCGAGGCACCTTACCCACCCCCGCCGGGGATTTTAAAGCAAACCTTGTCCCTTCCCCACAAACATCCCAGTGTGTATGGCAAACGGACGAGGTCCCTTTTAATAGAAGCTCACCACTGGCTCCCTTAGGGGCTGCTCGGGCCGCCGCTCCTTCCTGAGCGTCATCGGATGTTCAGTATCCGGGTTCTCCAAATGCCTCCCAAAAGCGTTTTATCCAAATCAGGGCCGCAGGGCCCTAGACGATGCCTTTGGTTGGTTAATTTTTTTTTTTAATCAGGGCAAAAAGTTTACACATGATGAAGTGGACAGACACTGAGTGTACAGCTCTAGCATTTTGGCAGATGTAGATACTTTGTGTGAACCACACACGTCAATCAACATATAAAAGGTTTCTGTCTCCCCCACCCAAATTCCTGCTTCCCCACTTATCCATCTTCCCACCAACCAGCCCGCAGGAGAAGCTGCACTGATTTCTGTTGTCGGAGTCCTCGTCCCAGAAGTTCTCACAAACGGAATTGGGCGGTACCGGAATGCACTGATTTCACCCAGTGTGGTGTTTCTGAGATTCACCCAATAGGATATCATTGTTTCTTGCTCCCTTGTGTTTCCTGCATGTCCACCACATGACTGACACAGGCGTGTCCTGTTGGAGAATGCCTCGTGGATGGGCCCTGGGCTTCAGCGGTAATGACTAAGCTGAGTGGGCTGTCTTTTTGTGGCACTGTGCTTGCATTTTCCTCTGGCCAGGGCCTCATAGTGGGATTTCTGGGTCGTAGGAGATGGGGGATATCCAACTTGGTAAGAAACTGCGAGGCTGGCAATGTGTCGTGCCACTTCTGTCCCCAACAGCAAATGAGGAGTGTGGCACCTGCCACATCCTCCCCAGGATTTATCTTGCTTTTTTTTTTAACTTGAGCCATTCACATGAGTAACTGCATCTCATTGTGGGCTGAAATTGCATTGCCCTGATGTGTTGGGAATGAGTCTCTGTTTTATGTATCTGGAAATGTCTTTATTTCACCTTCATTTTAACAAGATGTGTTTCCTTGGATGGGGCCGGCGTCGTGGTGCAGCAGGTGAGGCCGCTTGCTTGGGATGTCACATCCCACATCAGAGTGCTGGTGTGAGTCCGGCCACTGCTCATTCAGCCCAGCTTCCTGCCAAGGTGTCCTGGGAGGCCTGGACAGAGTTCCGGGTTCCTGGCTTCAGCCTGGTATGGCACTGGCTGTTGTGGGTATTCAGGGGGTGAACCAGTAGATGGAGAATCCTTCTGCCTCGCCTTTCTCTCCATCACTCTGCCTTTCAAGTACATTTTCAGAGAAAAGAAACCTCAGTGGATGTAGAAGTTTCAGTGGCTGTTTCCAAAAGGTCTCCCTGCAAAGGCCTCCTGTGAACGTTAGAAGTCCAGCCCTCGGCTAAGCACCCACACAGCCTCCTCCCGAGCTCTGCTTGGCCCCTTCTCTGTGCAGTCCCCTCCCTGGCAGGGTCATAGTCACTGAGCCTTCTTCCTCAGAGCCCCAAACTCCAGGCTCTGCCTCCAGGCTGCAGTGAGCGCACACTCTACACCTGACCTCACCTCCCAGCACCCAAACCAGAACCAGAGAGAGAGGCTCGGCGCTCAGGTCGCATGCTGCCCCTCCCCCATCAGAGGGGCCTGGGGCGTAGAACCCCTGGCAAGTCCGGTCTTGGACGTTTTGTCTGCAGTGGGAGATGACATCTGAAGCCAGGTACCCTGCCATGTGGAAGCCCAGGTCCGTCTGATCTGTGGCGTGCAGGTCCCCTTTCCCCTTACCCTCAATTTCCTTGCGGTATTTTGTAGAAATCATGGTCTTCGTCCCGCAGAGTCTCACACAATCAGAATTTTTCTTACTGTAGCCCAGCGGTGTTGCTGAACAGGTTCCCCTGCCCCACCAGGATTCCTGCCTGTTCCTGGATCTGGTTCAGGCTGCTCTCCTTCCACACCACCCACATAACGTGCACTCTGCCTGCTGCCTGAGCAGCCGGCCCGCCTGTGTTTTGTCATCAAGGATTGCAGAGCTGGCATACTCTGTGTCTGTTCTAGGTCTATAAAGCAGTGTGACCCTGCGCTTTCACCAGGGTGTGTTTGCCGCAGGAAAGGCTGGTGGCAGCTGGGGCTCCCTTGTCTTTGCCAGGATTCACTGGTTTCCCAGTGCAGCCAAAGGCCCCACAGCTACCTCCCTTTCCTTCTTCTTTTTTTTTTTTTTTTTTTTTTTTTTGACAGGCAGAGTGGACAGTGGGAGAGAGAAAGATCTTCCTTTTGTTGCCGTTGGTTCACCCTCCAATGGCTGACGCGGCCGGTGCGCTGATCTGAAGCCAGGAGCCAGGTGCTTCTGGTCTCCCAGGGGGTGCAGGGCCCAAGCACTTGGGCCATCCTCCACTGCACTCCCGGGCCACAGCAGAGAGCTGGCCTGGAAGAGGGGGGCAACCGGGATAGAATCCGGCTGTAGGCAGAGGATTAGCCTATTGAGCTGCGGCGCCGGCCCCTCCCTTTCCTTCTTTCTGGCTTCCCCTCCCCTCCTTTTCTCTCCCCTCCCCCCCCTCCATTCCTCTCCCTTTCCTCTCCCCTCCATTCCCTTTCCCTCCCTTGCCCCTCCCTTCCCCATCTCCTCTCCTCTCCCCTCCCCTACCCAGTCGGGATTGTGCTGCCCACGGGGTATAACCGGCACCTGTTCCCGACTCCTCAGACACCTACATAAATGCTTTGGGGTAGCCCAACCCCCATTTGGAAAGCGACCCAGTTTACTGACGAGATTTGAAACTTTCTCTCAAAAGGATATCTCCTACAGGTAATAGCTTTCTATCTGTATATAGGCTTACGGAGGGATATAGCTTTTGTGATATATTAGGGACAACTCGCTTCGCAGAATGACATCCTGCGAATGACTGCCTTTACCATCATAGAACTGATACAAAGAAGAAAGCTCTCCAATTCAAAAAATCTCCCAACCCAACATTGAATACTGCCACACGTCAGCTGGCATCCCAGAGTTAAATCGGGGGTAGAGAACCTCTGGGAAAAATAGCATAAATAACATGACAACTCCACCCATGTCTGGAATCTGATCTAAGTAGA